TNCCCCACTGGTTGTAGGTTTCCCGGAGCAGGGTCATAGACTGATCTGGGCAGGAGCTTGCATTAACTTCAGAATCGAATGATCATGTGTTGTAGACGTGCGCTGCCTTCACTAAACTGTTCGATTATATGTAACTAACGACATGTAGCTATTAGTCCAGGAGGGCGACAACAAGCAGCAAGAGCTGGGAGTGCATGGTCTCTGCCGCCCTGACGTGCCCGCCCCACATGTCCATTCTTCGTCTGACATGTGCTGTGCGTCGTTCAGGATTGCGAATTGCTCAAGGCTATGGCATGTCGTGAGGCCGGGATGGCGTCGAAGAAGAAGGGCACAGGCCCGTCGAAGAAGCACATGGCACAGGGACTGGCGTTGCGTGAAAGTGCCCGCGACGGTTCGCCAGGCCGAGGTGCGACACAGGGTTTCCCGGTGGTACAACCGGCAGGTGGCAGAGGCAAGGGCAGCAGCAGCAACTCCATGTCCCGTTACTCTGCGGCCGCTGCGGCGAACAACCAGTCCCGGGGGAAGGACTGTCGGTTCCGACGGGAATCAGAGACCTGTGACGGCGAAGTTTCTTCTCGTTCGTTGGCAACCGCAACCGGTGAAGACGAGGAGGAAGAGGAGGGGCTATCCGACGAACCAGATGCTTGGGACGAAGAATGGAAGGCGTCCCTGATAGCAAGCGGCAAGGCTGGGCGGGAGACGAGGAGCGGGAAGGGTGGGGGAAAGCGGACCCGGTCTGGTCCACCTCTATCCTCCACGATATGTGGCTCTGCCGGCCTCCAAAACAGGCTGAACAGCGTGAGCGGCTTGGTCTGCCAAAAAATGACCGCGCTGGCGGTGCCGACTGTGGGTGGTGGCGAGCAGGGAGGGGCGAGCAGCAGGACGGAATCGGATGAGATCAAAGACCTGCTCAAGAGCAGGTGAACCAGCAGATCTTCAACGCAATGGGGATGATGCATGGTGGCGTCCAACCGCACCCACTCGGGATGCAAGCGGGTGCAGGCGCGCTTCCTCCCTTCGGCGGGTACGCTGGATTCGGCGGTAGCGCCGCCTCGGCAGGGCTGGCTCTTCCTGCAGCTGTCGGAGTACCTCCTCCTGCGCAACCTTCGTAGGGTGCAACCGCGGCGGGTGCAAGGGCGTTGCCCGTGGTTGCTGGGGGNAGACCTGCTCAAGAGCAGGTGAACCAGCAGATCTTCAACGCAATGGGGATGATGCATGGTGGCGTCCAACCGCACCCACTCGGGATGCAAGCGGGTGCAGGCGCGCTTCCTCCCTTCGGCGGGTACGCTGGATTCGGCGGTAGCGCCGCCTCGGCAGGGCTGGCTCTTCCTGCAGCTGTCGGAGTACCTCCTCCTGCGCAACCTTCGTAGGGTGCAACCGCGGCGGGTGCAAGGGCGTTGCCCGTGGTTGCTGGGGGCGGACAAGCCGCCCGCGTTTGTGATGCCTCGTCCGCAGGAGGGGGGGTGCGTCTTCCAAGCTTCGGTGCTTTCTTGTGGCGGACGAGCGACTGGTGCAACCTCTGCAGTGGCAGCGGGCGGTGCAGTCCGGGTTAGGGCCCCGCGGAAGGCTGCGCCTACCACGAGTGGACAAACACTCTGCGAGTGTGGTCTTCCGGCATCCCACGGGGAGGTGAAGTCGGTGAGTCTGTTGCACACATACTTTGGGACTTGGTCTACATCTGCAGGGAGTAAGGGAGGTGTTGCGGCATTTCATTGCCGAACTGGTGTCATTCTAATGTTGTAGAAACGTCCGCGAATTAGTCCCTCATCAGGTGCGGAACCTCCAAAATCCTCCCTCTCCCCCTGCCTCTGTCCATGCGCCTCGTTTCGGGATTGCACCAGTACGTCCTCGTCGGGTTTAGGGTGTGTTGTTTTTTCCGGCAGACTTCTTGAACACTGGTGATGGCGTAGTTGACTCATGCTTAGGACGTTGGCCTATTGCCCGTGTGCCCCTCTCGCTCGGCTCTTAGTGCTTTATCCGCAATCCCTGAGCCCCCCCCGCCCAAATGCTCTCCCACACATTGACACCGCTCTCTGTTCTACATGCGTCTGTATTTCTGCGTCCTCCAGGGCACGAAAAAGGGGCAAAAGTACGTAACCTGCCCCAAGTTCCACCGGAATCAGATATGCAACTTCCACAAGTTCCGCGACGATCTGCTCGACGCAGCGGCAGGCGCAACGCCAAGCCCAAGGCCGAAAGCGAGTTAGCCTACAAGTACTTGTACGCTCTGCGGTCTTGTCTCCATGGAACAGCTTTCTTCCTCTTTTTTTTTTCCTCTCTGCGTTCTTTTTTTTTCAATTGCGAGTCTTATTGTACTCTGCAACCGTACTACGATTTATTGCCTCTGTCGAAAGCTCATCTGACTCTTTTTGCTTTGTCCTATCTTATTGTTGTTGTCCTTTTTTCTTTTTTTTTCTCGAGGAGGGTACACTATGGGGTAAGGTAGCAAGGGATGTGGGGCAGACTGTAGGTAGGGTCGGTGTTTTGTTGGCTACTGGTGATGTGTCGTATTGTCCACGAATAAAATCATGGGGGGGGGGGTAGGTATATCCGGGAGGTATTTCGTCTTGTAGTCGAGATTTCAGGTTCGATTGCAGCTTGTCGTTATCATTGCCTTCGTTGTTAGCCGTTACAGAAGTTTGTCCTGTCGTTCCCAAACCAGTTCCTTTTTGCAAGGTCGACGTCACTGCTCGTTTGTGGTCATGTTTGGCCTCAAATATTGGCTAGGCGCCCAGTGCCTGGTACTGTTGGTCCTTTTGATTCGTTTGCGTTGCCCATAGGCAAGTGTTGTTGCCATTAGGGCATGGGTGCCGTTTACAAAACCAAGTTTGACCTGGTCAGTTCGAGCACGGTACGTACCAATCCCGTGGTTGTGCTGGTGTAAGTGGTTCCATGTATTGGGCAACTGCTTTTGCTGTAACTTGGCATCGCTCTTTCTTGTTTGCAGAAGAGTTCGTAGACCTGTCCTGTCGTTGTTGTCATCCTCGTCATAACTTGTTGCCCGCAGGGTGTTGGTCTGAGTGCAGTTGCCTGTCGCTTTGTCGGTGTTTTTTTTTTCGAACTCGGACATGTCCATCTGTCTACAATTCGGTTGTCCTGTTTCGTTTATGTCGTGTAGCTGCGTGCACCACCGAGAATGTTTTGCGGGCGTGTTGCTGTTGTTGGTTGTAGTCTTGTTTCTTTCAAGTACCCGTGTTCTTTTGGGTTAACAACCCGTTTGTCTTGCTATTTTCCTTTGCGGAAGGGCACGTATGTAGGTTGTCGGTATTGTGTTTCGTTCGATCGCTTGATCTTGTAGCACATGCCGTCGTACATCGAGCAAATGGATAACTGTTGTTGCCAGTTTCCGTTGGAATACATGGTTCCGATTTCGTCCGAGAGGTGGAATATGTGGGGGCGATTTGGTGCCTTAGTAAGCTTCTTCTCCGTAGGTTAGGTGTAGTAATAGGGTCAGGTGGACCAGGCTTGATGATTGCCGTCGAGTCGGCCCGAAACGGATCGGCCCCAGTCATCAAGCCCGGTCTACCTGAGCCTAGTGCTGCTGGCTAACCGGAGGTTCGTTGCCAAAAAACATTGACCCCAAAACACTCATTGAGATACTTCACAATACGCACGGTGGTAATTCGTCCGCTTTAGCGCCGAGCTCTGACGTGCGCAGCATGTGGGGCTATCTCATCTGCAGGCGCCGTTCGAATCGGACTGCTGTGTTGACCCAAGTGCATCGGCGAGTAAAACGATTTGGGGCACGACTTATGTGACGCACTCTGTTACGGCCAAGTCATAAAAAACAAAACATGTTAAAAAAAACAATTATGCTATATGTACTTGAGGTTGTATTCACATGACCAAACGCAAAGGCCTCACTCGGTGCCTTCTAATGTTCGTACTGGTCCAACTGTCGCGGACACCTCCCGCGACCACAAGCCAACTACCCCCAAACGGGGTAGACTATGTTCGGCTATGTCCTATACTTGAAAGGGGAAGACGTTTTATCTTTTGTATTAGACACGCAAGGGGAGTAGGGAGAAGGGGAGCCCTCTTTGGAGCTCGAGGGGTCCCCGCATATGCAACCATTTCAAGGTGTACATATGCCCCATCTGCCCGCCCTCTGTTATTGCCGGTAGATCTAACCAGTCCGTATCCAAACACACGACTCCCCGGTTTGCACGCGAATGGCCAACCTAACGTGGGGCATGGATACCCCTGATCTACCAAAGGGACAAAAAACAACAACAGGCTCGAGGGAAAACCCGGCCAACCGGATCAAAAACCCTCGTCTAACACCCTAAATATAGAAAACCGTCGCTATCATGGAAGATCCCAACGGCCGCACTTCCAAGACAAGACCAAGGCAGGACAGATTGAACTGGACACGCTGATTACACACCCGAAGCAACGCTCTCGGCGNTTGTTGCCGGTAGATCTAACCAGTCCGTATCCAAACACACGAACACCCTCCCCGGTTTACACGCGAATGGCAAACCTTACGTGGGGGATGGATACCCCTGATCTACCAAAGAGACAAAAAACAACAACAGGCTCGAGGGAAAACCCGGCCAACCGGATCAAAAACCCTCGTCTAACACCCTAAATATAGAAAACCGTCGCTATCATGGAAGATCCCAACGGCCGCACTTCCAAGACAAGACCAAGGCAGGACAGATTGAGCTGGACACGCTGATTACACACCCGAAGCAACGCTCTCGGCGTTTCTAGGCTCCANATGGAAGATCCCAACGGCCGCACTTCCAAGACAAGACCAAGGCAGGACAGATTGAACCGGTCACGCTGATTACACACCCGAAGCAACGCTCTCGGCGTTTCTAGGCTCCAGCCGCGGGTGACGCGCCGGCACAACGCTTCCTGCGTGACGTACCATGGTCATATATGCCAAGTGCTAAAACCACCACAAAAACCAAACAGAACAAGAGAACACTACATCGGTAGGTTCATCAGAGCCTTCCGGTGGTACCCTAACTTCTCTCTGCCAAGGACCTTGGTCAGCATGTCGGCGTGCTGCTCTCCAGTCGGAACATACTCTGCAGTGATCTTGCCCGAGTTGAAGAGCTCGCGAATGAAATGGAACCGCACGTCGATGTGCTTGCTCCTCGCTGTAGGCCATACAGGGCACGCTCAACCTTGACCACCTTGCCGGACATGCTACCACAGCCTTCCGGGAACCTGAGGTATATTTCTTCTTTTATCTTAGCGTGGATGTACGCTTGCTTCACATCCCAGTGCGCGAGTTTCTTGCCCTTTTCAGTGGCTACGGCAATCACCGTCTTGATAGACGCTGCAGACGGGAACGCTGAGGATGAATGGTGGAAGTCGATGCCGGGGATTTGAGAGAAACCCCGCGCAACCATACGGGCCTTGAAGTCGACTATCAGGCCCTTCTCATTCGTCGTCCAACCCACTTGAACCTATGGCCTTCCGCCCCTCGGGCAGCTTTCTGACCTTGGTAAAGGTTCCAGTCTTGTCGTGGCCATCTGTCTCTTTCTTCGTGGCCGCCTCCCAAAAAACCTTGCACTTGGAACACATCACATCCTTGTACGTCATTGGTACTGCTTCCACCTCACTCGGCTTCTGCCCGATTGGCGAGGTCATACTTAGTTGTGGGTCTGGGAGTGGTTGCGAAGACCCGCTGGCGTCGACCTCGGCCCCGAACGCCTGCTGTTTCGGGCCACCTCCTGCATCTCGCGCCTGTACATCTCCTCCTCCTTTCGGCGTGTCTGCTCCTCGTCCCACTGCTCCTTCACAAGCGAGTTGCAGATGTAGTCCTCAACAATCCCCGTCCCGCCAGTTTCCAGGATGGTCGCCAGCAGTTCTTCTTCCGGGTCCGGTGTTTCTCCGGGCCCCGGCATCTCCCCGGCACCTTGCATCTCCCGGGTCTGCTTCCGCGTGCGGCCACTCTCAAGCCCATGGCGCAGCGGGCCAGCGTTCGAGGCGCCCCAGAGGAGTTTCTTCCCTTCTAGCCCGCGGGGGTAGCGGTCGTCGGCTGGATCATACTTCAACTCCTCGAGGTTCTCGGAGTCGCCGGGATCACCACCGCTACCGCCGTCCCCACCTGGGTCGCCGGGCTCTTCGCCGCCCGAGCCGCCAGCACCGCCGGCGTCACTGCTGATATGAATCAAAATTAAAAGGCTGTATTTCTTTATCTTTTTTAATATTAGATAAATCCTCTTTAATAGCATTTATTTTCTCTTTAATACGTTCATTTTGTAATTTCTTCAATAACCATAGATTTAATTGATTTATCTAAAAGAGATAATAAAGTATTACTCTCAGTTTTATTCGTAATTTTTAATAATCTGTACAAAGTTGTAAAATTTCTCTTTCCAATCCTTTTTGATTATAAACAATTTTTCTATCTTGAGATTTAGATTCTGCAACAGATTTTGATCCTTTTTTCCTGCTGCTCGGGCTGCTGCTGCTGCTGCTGCTGCTGCTGCTGCTGTTGCTGCTGTCGGTGGGGGTGTCACTACCTCCGCCGAAGTCGCCCCTTCCCGAAAGGGGTGACGGGGGAACGCTGCCTCCGAATCCCGTTGCCGGGTGCCGTCGGCGCCTCCTCGGGCACAAACGGCGTCGCTTGCCCTGGCCCACGAGCCTCCATCACGTCGAGGTCGGACTCGCTCTCTGAGTCTCTCTCCCCCCCCCAACCTTGGCGTGATGCATCCGCTCTGCTCTCGCCCTCCCCGCCCTCCTCGTCATCTGCGAGAGGTAGCAGCTGCGGGGGAGCGGGCGATGCAGCGGGCACGTGGCGCCAGGTGAAATTGCGGGTGGTTATTACGGTTCCAGCTTCGGTTATCATGCGAACGCAGTCACGGGCGTGATTGTGGGCAGGACCAAGGTACCATCCTTTTTCGCCCTTGGGTTGCGACTTTGCTTTTCTTCTCGACTTGAACACGGCTGGTTTGAGAAACGGGTATGTAGACCCGACAGGCGGTGGGGAGTCGTGGAACATCTCGTAGGCGGATTTGTGTCCCTCGTTTGATTTAGGGGCGGTGCAGTTCAGCTAATGGCATGCACACGAAATGGCCTCGGCCCACAACCCGGGGTGGTGCGGTGCGTCGGGGAACAGCTGCGTCGCTTGGATGCGTGACGCAACCGCTGCATCAGTGATCAACCCTAGCGCTCTCTCCGCTACACCGTTGTACTTTGGGGTGTGAGGGGGGGTAAACTCTTGTTTGATGCCGTGTCTGCGGCAAACTTCCGCAAACTGCCCCTGGAACTCGCCGCCACCGTCGGTACGTGCGATATAAACCTCACACGGAACCCCTTTCGTTCGGTAGTCCGCCAGGAACTTCTCAAACCCAACCGCTGCGTCAGACGTGTGCTTCAAGAAGAAAACACGCGTCCAACGGGAGAAATAGTCTCTAATGATCAGTGTGTACCAGTTGCCAGCAATGATCCTGGTTTTCATCTTTCCCCCCAAGTCGAGTTACACGCGAAATAACTTCTTAACTGCGCGTGTGCTCGTGCTCTTCTGGACGGGTTTCACCTGTCCCTTGGACATCGAACAGCCAAGACAGGGTAGCAGCGGTCCATCCGTCAGCTGCACTCCCTGCTTCTCCACCGTGATCCTGAGCAATATCTCGTGGGCATGGCCGTGCGCGAGGTCGTACTCGTTGAGGTCAGTGGGGGTGGATGCTTTCGCATCGCCAGGAACAATGAGTGCTGCACAGGTGGTGTGTAGCGTTGGCTTTATTTGATCGCCTCGTTGGGTCAGCAGCTTTCCAGTCCGGGGGAACCACACCTCCCCCCCGGCTTTCGTGGTCAGCGTGAGGCCCCCCTTCATCCCCGAATACGTGTGGCCCTCCTCCGCCAACGAAGACAGCGAGAGGAGGTTGTAGGGGGCCTCTGGTACATGGGCAGCATTCAGTACTGGTACGGGTACTCCACCATCTTCCGTCTGTAGGACTAAGGTCACATCTCCGTATCCTAGAAGAGGAACGGGGGCCTTGTCGCCTCCGATCCCCTTCACCCGACCGCTACGCTCACGGTAGTCCACGAAGTTGTCTGCACATCCGAAACATGGAGCACGTGGCCGCTGTGTCGGCCACGTACACCGCCTGGCCTTGTTCTACAACCCCCACTAGACCTACTTCACCAACGGTACCACACTTGCCTGGGGGGACTGCCACGGCACAAAGCGCCTGGTTTTCCACGGGGTCCACGTCGCTCTCATGCTCCACCACTTGCGCTAGAACGGCCTCCTCCGTCGCACACTTTTCTTTGGTGTGGCCCCACCCCTCGCAGCGCGCACACCACGGCACGAAGTCCTTCTCGTCGGTAGTGCAGCCGATCGCTTGATGTCCACGATGTCCACACCTAAAGCACCGGCCCGGGAACTTATAGTCCCCGCCACCGCCGTCATCGGCGCCTCCACTGCTGCTTCCCTTGCTCTCCTCGACTCCTCCGGATCCGCCTGAGCGGCCGCCGCGACCGCCCCCGCCGCCGCCGCGACCGCCTCCGCCGCGGCCTCGACTGCTGCTGCGGCCACGGCCGCCGCCACGACCACGACCTTGCCCCTGACTCCTACTTGAGTACCGCTCCTTGCGGCCCTCACCGTCGGCGAAGTACGCTTGCTCTGCGCCCTTCGCCCCATTTCCTTTCCCCTGCTCCAGCTTGTCCTTGATCGCCTTGTATTCGATGATTACTTCCTTTAGCACACCGGTCCGCGTCAACTCCTTCGCGTGTCGTAGGTTGTGCTTTGTCACAGCATACTCGTTTGAAAGGGCATCCAGGAAGAGGTGAACGACGAACGTTTCGTTGACAGTTAGTCCTTTCTCGGTTAAGGACTTTGCGGTTTGGAGCATTTCATTGAGGTCGTTTTGGGGGTTTTCACCTCTAGAGATCTTGGTCGACGTCAGGGACTTGAGGTCCTCTGACGGCTGTACAGATGATTCAGGGTCGTGTATGGTCTTGAGCTCACGAAGAGCTCCCTGGGGCGTCTCTGCCCTCTTCATGATTTCCCGATATTTTTCTTTTAACGCGTGGGACAGGAAGTTCCACGCGTGGAATGCGAGCTCTACTTGCTCGCTCCGGTGCTGCTGTGACAGCGAAAACTTGCTATTTCCGCTGTTGACGGGGATCTCTAAGCTCCCGCTCTCTTCAAATTGTCCCAACAGGTTTGCGCCATTAGCTGCCATGCGGAAATCATTTAGCCATTCTTTGAAACCTTTCGATTTCCCGCTGAACGGAGGAGAAGTGTACCGCACACTTTGGTACCCCGTCGCTGGGGTTGTGGCTCCGTATCCCAAGCCAACAGCAGCACCACCATCTCCCATGGCACTACTATAATCTTGATTGTGAGCAGCGGCTACTCTCACCTCTTGGGCGACAACGCTCCTTGCTTCGCCGCTGTGTCGCCCTGACGGGCCAGACTCTCGAACAGGTTCGCGCAGGTACCTCCCGTCCTGCGCACTCCCGGTCCACGGTGCCCCTCCTTCGGCGTTCGTGGACTCCGCGGCGGCGCTCTCCCTAGCATCGCCGCGATCAGCGGCACCCTCCATGGTGCCAGCTGGCTCCTCCTTCTTGCTTGCCTTCATGGTATCTTCCACTAGCGACATTAGCTGGCTCATCTGATCCGTCAGCGAGCTAACTTGCGTCCTCAGGACCACGAGCTCTTCTCTTGACCTCTTTCTGTCTTCCGCCGCAGAGTCGCTGGAGGAGTCACCCCCATTTTTGCGACCTGACATTCCTAATGGACTCTCCCTCGAGGAACTGACACTAGTGTGTTCGTATATGTCCTTTACTTGGGAGGGGAAGACGTTTTTATCTCTTGTATTAGACACGCAAGGGGAGTAGGAAGAAGGGAAGCCCTCTTTGGAGTTCGAGTGGTCCCCGCACATGCAACCATTTCAAGGTGTACATATTCCCCCATCTGCGTGCCCTCTGTTGTTGCCGGTAGATCTAACCAGTCCGTATCCAAACACACGAACCGACTACACCTTTATTTAGTTTTTTTTGGAAATGAAGTGGCCCGATAGGGACGCTTTTTGTTTTTCAAGAAAAAAGCTGTTTAGAGGGGGGGGGGGAAACGGACTCAAGTAAGTCTGTCTGTCTGTCTGTCTGTCTGTGACCAGCCTCGATTTATTACCCAGCAGATTTCCAGCCCATTTCACTATCTCGGCACCAATTGCAATCTAAGACGTGTTCACAACAAGTAATATTTTGCCCGAGCTGCCCCAACTGCTACCTTTTCAATCCGTGCTCGGTGCGTCGAGATAGTGCAGCGTCGGTACCCAAGTTGAAGCAGGGAAGTTGTTGGCCCCTTGCAACACCGAGAGGAGGCGTCGTTTGATTTTGAAACAAGACAGATAGCCTCGGACACCACACACCACACACACAGAGAGCCAGACATGGACAAACAGGGAGAGGGAGACACCGACCACAGCGAGGGCGAGACGGCGGGAGAAGGTGTGCCATACACTGCTGCTGTTGGCTATCTGCGGAGGAAGCGAGAGGAGAGATCAACATTTGGTGCAGCAGCACACCGGTGGCCACTTTGCTCAAGCCTGTGAACATGTTGTGGAGGTTTTGACCCTGTATGCGACCCTGTGCGTACCCTGTCAAAGTAAATATCATTGACAAGGTTGCTCGATCAACAATGGCAGGTTGCCGATACCCGCAGGGTCGGTGAAGGAACACACCCTGCGGGTCTTGAAATTCCAACAGGGTCATGCGGTGAACCTTGCCAGGGTTGTGTCATCCGAAGCGAATACTGCTGTGTAACCGAGTGGCACCCGTTTACGCATGCCTCTCTCTGTCGATGTCTCTCTCTCTTGTCTCTCACTCTCTTCTCCCATTGTCCCTTCTTTTGCTATTCCATTCCGAGCAAGCACCCGTTCGTGGCCGAAACCTCCCAAGGCACTCCGTGGGTTGTATCCTCTCTGCACCCCCCCTACAGGCGTGCAGCTCGACGCTTGCTGCCAACCAAACACGATTTACGACCATCACCGCGCTGGTTCTTTCAATTATTTTTACCCTGTTCATCTTTCCATTAGTCGATCCATGCAATGCTGGGGCAAGATGAAGCAACTTTGTTGCTCGGACAAGTTGGAGTTGTCTTTCAACACGTGCTGCTTCATATATTTCCGCTGTAAGAGGAGACAGATCTGAGGTATCTGACTTCTGCTGATCCATGTGTACAGCTCCAAATGCTTGCACGAAGAGGATGACGACATGTTGGAAGTGTTTGCAAAATACTTTCGCCAGTTGCGGATCGACGTGTTTGACTGTCGAAACGATTGACGATTCAAGAGTATCTCGTCGAACCTGATCCAGGGCACTGCTGACGTCGTTGAGGCCCCACGGTAATAGGAGTTGCCGCCTGTCGTCATCATCCTCTTGCGATGACTGCAACGACCCAGAGAGAGATGGAGACGATGTAGTACCTGATTCACAATAATGCTTGATGCGTGGAGGGAAAAGGTCGCCGCATGAGCCAATGTGGCGTAACCAGGTGCTTGGCTGCTCGAGCGTACGGATCCTGGAGGAGACAAACTGAGTAGTAGCTCCTTTCCTCGACCTTTAGACTATGCTGACGTTTTTGGTGTGTAGCCAGATTCCTCGCTGTCAGGTTCGGTGATCCTTTGCTGATGCAGAGGGGACATGAATACCGTACTCGTTGGGCATAGTGGCGTAGGTCCAGGTACATGTGATGGTGGTGCCAAATCTTGGTTCATGACACCACTCATCGCCGATGCGTCTGGAGGCTCCAGTGCAAAGCGATTCCACGTCAGTCAAGTCCATCAGTCTACCGCTGCTTGCTGCTGCTACTACCTTCTACCACGCTACTAAGCGTGCGTGGTGTGTGTGTGTTTTTATTACTAGCATGGACCGCGCTAGCCGGCTGACCAATGAAAAGACGTCAGTCTCAGTGCGGTTGAAAACACGAAAGACTTCTATCTGCCATGAACTGGGACCCCGTGAGGGGGCAGCTGATCGATAATCCGGGTGGCTCAGTTCTGTGTGTTGGGAGTGTGGACCAGCTGGGCCATGACGGGCCGTGGTAGGGGAGGGACGTATAGGAAAACGTGTTGTGAAACGTATTGTGTTCTTCGGGGGCGTGCTCGTGCTAGTAAATCTGTCACGGCATCAAGCACGCGTCACGCTCATCACGCTCAAACTACCAACCAACCGGGTCTCTCTGATTTCTCCGCATCTCATCACTGCAATTTCCGTACGTACGTACTAAAGACNTGGTAGGGGAGGGACGTATAGGAAAACGTGTTGTGAAACGTATTGTGTTCTTCGGGGGCGTGCTCGTGCTAGTAAATCTGTCACGGCATCAAGCACGCGTCACGCTCATCACGCTCAAACTACCAACCAACCGGGTCTCTCTGATTTCTCCGCATCTCATCACTGCAATTTCCGTACGTACGTACTAAAGACCTTACCCGTCATACTATGCTACGAGTACCCCCAATATATCTAACAGCCCCCCTGCTCGTATGCATCGTCATGCTTTGGCAAAAACCAAATTCCTCTTTTACCATCTCTCCAAAACAAACAAGAACATTCTCAAAGCAACCAAAGCCAATATCCTCCCCAAAGCATTCAAGAACCCTCCAAGTCAGTCACAAAAAAAAATCCAACAAAACCAAAACTCCTCCAAAACAACCAATGAAAATCCCAATACAACTCCAACGNTTCACCAGACTCTCTCTTTCTCTTGTCCAATCTCGTCTCTCTCTTTCTCTCTCCGCTACAGAATACGAATCGACCCCAAAACACTCCCTTCACTGCAAGTTCATCACAAGGTCACGGTGCAACGCAAAAGACTCCTTGCTAATAGCCTTCGTCAAGAAATCTGCATGCTGAAATTGCGTCGGCACATGAGTAATTGAAATCTCTTGCCTCTCTACCTGCTCCCTGATAAAGTGATGCCGTACATCGATGTGCTTCGCGTTGGAGTTCGTGATCGGGTTGTGCGCAATCTGAATCGCTCCCTGATTATCCTCGAA